CTTTAAGAAAAATTATAATTTCGCACTAACATCCCGCGACGGCTCTCTATGCCTTTCTATTATATTAATTGATTGTTATCATTTGAGCCATTCCTTTATATGTGTTAAATTGTTTTAAATCACGCGGGCATTATGACGCGTTTATGTCCTACAGATTTGTTGATTTCCTAAACTAAGAGAAATAAATGTTAGAAGCGTGGGGTCTGAGTAGTTTAGTGGTAGAACATTCGCCCGGCAAGCGGAAGACCCGGGTTCAATTCCCGGCTTAGCCACTCGCGCCCTGATATTTTTTCTCTATTCCCTTCTTTCTAATAATTCCTATCAGTACATACTGATTCTCCATATGTGAGAACAATGTACTAAAATTTTCGTACACTTTAAGTATCTCGAACCAGAGATCGGTGTACAAATTTAACTGTCTCACGTAGACTAACAAATTAATTTCTTTAAGAAAATTATAATTTCGCACTAACATCCCGCGACGGCTCTCTATGCCTTTCTATTATATTAATTGATTGTTATCATTTGAGCCATTCCTTTATATGTGTTAAATTGTTTTCCATTCGTAATTTATAAACGAATTAATATTCATGGTTTGTACGTTTTGAAGTATCAAGTATCAAGATAAATGTCCATTGTGCAGTTTATCAGAATATGTAGGGATCGTTCGTAGAACCGTGAAAAAAGTTTTATTTTTTAGGATACATTAAACAATTATAGCATATTAAACTGTTCGTAAGATACGATACGATACGAATATTATAATTAGCAATCACTGTGATAAAAGAATATGTATAAGAAGAAATATGTCATATTTTATCTGTCACGAATCTCCTTCAACAATAATGCCAGTGTGGAGTCTAGTGATTCGACTGACTTGAGTCTTCGTTCTAGAGCTTCAAAGTCCGCTCTTTCGAGCCATGCCGGCGGATCGGTCTCCTTCGACGGCAGAGGACACAACAGCCTCTCGACGGCAGCGCACAGTCCGCACCACTCCCTAAAGCCCAGCGACTCCGTTATATCTCCTATAACAGACTTCAGATAAGATCTCTGCTCGTCCGTCAACGCCTTCCCAATCATTTCCTGAAGGGCCTCTTCAACGTCGGTCGGCGAAATGCGTCGTGCGCTGTGCAACGAGTCTTCATTAAATTTGTTGAATATTCGACCGAATATTTGTTTTCTTCCCGATGTGACGTACGCGTGCTTAGTAAGGTATTGAATTGGCTTTAATCCTGCAATATATATTATTATGATTCGTGAATAAATCCGAAAGATATCGATGAGATATCACTAAAATGCAGTGAGAAAATACAGAATGATTTGTGAATGCATGTCAATATTACAGGAAGTAAACTTGAACGCTAAGATTGGTGAAGTAACAAAACATTCGTGAATAAATATTTTACGAATCAAAAATTACGAATTCCTGTGATTAAGTGCAGATTGATATGAATATTCAAAGATTCATGAAATTATGGCTATTCAAACAATTGACCTAAACTCTTAAAACAGATGGAAAATATGAAGGTAAATTGTACATAGCATAAATTGTAAAAATTGAAAAAATTACTCCTTATTAAGGATTTAGTATAACATTTTTACTTATTTATATAAAATATTTCTTTTTTCACTGCGTTTATGAAACATTCTGTGTAAAACATACCTCGAAGACTTTGACTGTCGAGTAACTCAAACCGCGCCGCTTGACGGGAAAATATTCGGGGAGCGTTTTGTGCCAACAAACTGGCACTAGCTTGTCGAGATCCGCGCAGGGTTGAATAAGCGTCACCTTTCACTCTTAATGCTTCCTCCAAGGCGATTCTTTTCTAAGATAATCGAGTTACTCAACATTTGAGTTACATAGTTTGGAAAGAAAAGATTTGCCCAACAAATTTAGATCTGCATTTACCTTGATTGAAAATTCCGCCTCCACCTTGTCGCGATCTAGTTCTCGACATAAGTGCTTTAGAATGTCAGGTGCGAGGAAGCTCGAAGGTATCGTGTGACTCGTTGCTTGCGCGGGCGATTTCTTAGGAGTCGCCGAATCATCGATTTCGCCAGTATCCACATGAAGCCTGTTGCGTTTTTAAAAAATTATTTTTCTTATAATTTTCAGTCAATACTAAAGACATTATATATAACATGAGACATTATTAACATATGTATATACATAGAATTGTAAAAATTATAAAAAATTTTCTGTGGATACTGACGACGGTCGCCGTGATCCATTTCCGATCTGCGAGACCTGGGTTACCGCAGGCTCGAGCGGATCGCGAACTTCCGTTTGCTGGCCGTAAGTCGAGCCCCTCCTACACTTTCTTTTACGCAATCGCTTTCCCCGTCTTCGAATAATTACTGGTTGCTGCTCGCTGCCGCTGTCGGCCTCTTCCTCCGCATTCTTGGACGAACTCTTTCACCAATAGCCAGCATTATTTTTTAAATAATGAAAAGTCTCAAATGTGTGAGAGGAAGACTCGTGTAACAGCTTCTAAACTCACTGTTTCACATCCTTCAACGATGGGCGAGGGAGGTGACGGTGGAGGCGGCGCGGGTGCCGAATGTTGCGGTCGCGAGATCGGTTTGCAAACAAATATTTCGCTTTTTCGAGGCGTCGGCGGTAGTTCGAGTGTAAGAGCATGCCAGCTGAAAGTTTCGCTCTCCTAAAAGTTGAAAGAGTCATTTGACGAAGTTAAACATTTTTGCATACAGATAGATCTTTCGGATAAAAAAGCAAGAGCTGTTTTTGAGCTTTTACATTGTTTCACTGTTTCAGTGTCCAAATTCCAAAACCTTTAAATGTCTCAGCATTACCTCTGGATTACAGTCCGATCTATCCGATTGATTTATTCACCACTTTGCATAGCATATTTTTGATTTTCTTATTGTGTGCAAAATTTTTCCTTTCAAATTGTAGATTTGGATTTAAATTGAAATTTATATTTTACGATTGTTCCCTATGATACTACCTATGCCTTGTTATCTTTATATTATAATTGTACTATAGAAGCAATTCTTACATATTTTGTTCTCTCTCTTTCCTTTGCAGGGGAATTTATTCTTGAGCGCACAATAAATCAATCTACTTGTAACAAAGCCGAAAGACAAATGACAAATGAGTAGCAAGACGACAGCAGCTTGTCGAGCGAAACTATGGGTCTAATACCGACCACCTGCTGGTTTTGCGAGTTCGCTCGGAGATCCAGGACCAGGGTGGTGCGCTCGCGCGGATTACAAGGCGCAGGTAAATCCTCCTGGGTTGCGCGGCTGGTTAATGCCGTAGGTCCGCTGGCTAGCGTGGGCGCCGGGGTCAAAGGTCGCGAATCGGTTTCTGTGTATTTCCGGAAGAGCTCCTCGGGCACCGCCGAAGCGGTCACCTCGGTAACTTTGTAACCGTCGCCACCGCTGTTACCTCCGACATTTCCAGCCTCACCTACGCCTCCGCCCGCGCCCATCGCCAGTAGACTCGTCCGTATCATTTCCATTTCCTCCGGCAGCAAAAGAGCTTTCCCCTCGGTCGCCTAATGTCATAAAAAATACACGGGCATCGCTGGAGGCGATAAACAAAACTTGCCGAAACTTGCGTGAGAGAAGATGGAATTCTTTTTTTTATGGTTTTTAATGTTTGATGCGCTCTCAATACCCGTATAAGTATGCTACATCAAATATTAATCTTGATAAATGGCCCGCTGATAGCTCCGTTATCAGTATCACCACATTACAGTACAATATAGATAAGATGTATAGGAGTTCTATATTTGCCAGGATTTCGTGATATCATCTTCTCTCTTATTCGCGGCGAATGAATTTTTTACCCATGTATCCTTAGCGCGTCGCACCACCTCCTTCGCCTCGCAATCTGCTGGATGATTGCACAACACCGAGCAACCATAGGGATAAGGATTAAAGAGACCGGCGAACGGTCGGAGGGCGAACGGTGCCGCTTTGGTGCAACCGGATAATTCCACGCTCTACACACGTGACATCGTGAATAAATAAAAGGAGGCGAATGTAAAGCGGTATGCACGTGGGCACCCGGTCTCATATTTAGCACAATTTTTCTCACCTTGGGCTTGGGCCGGCGAATCGGCCGAATTCGCGCGGACAAGAGACCGGTCGCGCTCGCGATTCCGGTCATTCCGTTTCCGATTCTGATTCTCCGAGGTGATAGATGACACTTTGCGTTAAAACACGCGCCCGTCGTGCTATACTCGCAACTCGATAAACGTACGCCCGTTTGTGTGCAAATAAACTGCACTCTGTTCGTTCGTTACTACATCGATACTACATCAACACGTTGCTACGCGTGACCGATGGGTCGATCGCGCAAGCTACAGTGTGCATGCATACTCTCACTCCTGGTTGATCGAATATGAACTTATACATACTGTATATAAATATATGAACGTGATTGTAGAAATATTCTGTTTTCGGCAATGAAGTGATGAAATCATGTCCTTCTCGTTGTATTCTAGATTAATTAACATTAAGCATATTGTTTAACAAATTTATTGCTTTACTGTGTATACAATAACTTTATATATTTATAGTTATTTTTAATCGGTAATATTAATTATATTTAAATCTTCATTTGCTCGTCTAACCATGGATTGTCTTGCATGTGCCCGGGATATTTCTTTTTGTACTTGAGACCGGTCACAAGGGTAGAACTTTTCGGGAAGGCCGTTTTACCGTCGAACATAGTGTCGGTATCTGTCAGGAAAGTATTATTTGAATATTTGTGCTTGCACATATGTTATTATGATTCTGAAAATTTTTGAGGACGCCTCACCCGGATGAAATCGATGATAATCCTGCTGGATGTGCAAATTCTTAGGTAAATCTAGTTTACGTAGCGCTTCATATGGCGTCGCAGTGTCCACTGATGTCGTGTAAAACCGTTTTAAATCCTCTATATACGACGTGCAGATTTATAATTAGTTATTACTGATCAATTTCACATAAAATAAAAAAAAAGTATCGCTAACCAATAGTTTCGACGGTGTGAAGCAACGAGTTCGGGATGGAATGTTTAAATTCCTCTTCGCAAGCAACGAATAGTTTAAAGCGAAGAACGGGATCTTCCAGTTTCGCGTCATTGTGCGCGGAGATGATCTGATTCTCACAGATTTGCTCGATCCTCTCGGATACGTCTTCAGGAGGTTCGTAAGGTTTTTGTGATCTCAAAAATCTGAAAAAGGTATTCATTTTTATAATGTATCGCATGATTCAAATGCAATTCAATTTATCGATCAGATTTAAATGATTTTACATCGATAGAAAAATTCTCGACTATATAAAAATCAACTTTGAATGCTTGAATCTTCCTAATAAAATTTACTACTCACGGGAATAAGTTTGAAAATGGCAAGCAAAGAATGGGGAAGAAGATTTTTATTATTTATTTTTCGTCACGACGATCTTCGCCGTAATGGCTATTCGCGTATTAGCGACTAATGTTGTCTCTCGCGAATTATCACGACACGTGCCACCAAGTTACTCGCAATCCGGAAAAGATGGCTTTTTCGCGACGAAATTTGATGTGATATGTGAGAAAGGACAAAGGGTCGGGACATGGCGAAAGGAGGGAGGAGATCGATGTCCGCTGACCGTACGGTGCTGCCACTGTACGCGCTCCCTCTCGAAATATAGTTACGATCGTTGTTAGCCAGTGCCGAATTTTGGAATGTTCCGACGAGCCCCGTCAAATTTTCGGCCTCGTTTCGTAAGATTATAAACTAATGATAATCTTATCGATGTAATTACGATGAGAACAGCGGAATTTATACTGAAGAGTTGTCAAATGAAAATTGTATAACATTTTCTACAATTACAGCTACATGAAAAGTAGATCACAACGCGTGTCATCAATTGACAGACTTTAACACTTAATTGAAATCATTTATCGCATTTGACTTTGGAATGTTTTCGACATTTCGCGTAAAAATAAATCAAAGCTCTTTCCATCATTCTCCTCATTGCACGCTTGACGTGTTCGAAAGATGATAACACGATTCCATCGCAGTGATTGAAGAATCCATGATTTTTTTTCAGTGAATTGCGCATAGCGGTACACCAGAGAGGGAGGGAGAGAGGGAGGGAGCGCGAAATGGTACATTACGTCACGAGCGCGAGTGTAAAAATAACAGGACAAGAAGTCTAAAACTTAGTACGATAATCAATCGGTCGCAATTAAGAATCCTCGAGGATGGCATTTATTAAATATTTGTTATATGTTATAATCTCCATAGTCGGAAAGTAACATGACGGAAAACGGAGAGAGCGGAGTAACACGGTCCTGAAGACCTGTCAGATTCGTTATACGATTGGCCGACGTATGGGGAAGTGGTGGCAGACGGTAATATGGCCGCGGTGTGGCCTCTGTTAGTCGGACAGTGCCGCGACGTAACGCGAATTTTATCGTACAGCTGCGACGCGGAGGCGCGGAACTCGCGATCGCGCTTACCCGCGGGCAGCCAAGGATTCCCTTGCCGATTCGATCCTTGCCTTCGCCTGCACTTTCACAACCTTGCTCCTCTTGCTCTTGTGCCGGGTGATATCGAGACGCGCGGTCGCCTGCAAAAATGACGATCTTGTTAGTAGTGGCGCGCGTGCCGTGCATTTGTGTGACGGTGTCGTCACATTTGTCGTGTGTCGGTGTGTGATGTGCACGCGAGCGCATCGTTCCGTGTTTGTGTATCGAAAGTTTATTCACTGACCGTGTGAGTGGCGAGTATACTCGGAGTACTCTTAAATGCGCTGGCGAACAAGCCATGCCTGATGAGCGCCGCCATCTTTTTCACGCTCGTCGTCGTCGCCGTCGTCGTGGTGTCAGCCCTGGTAGTGGTGGTAACAGCAACAGCGGCAGCAGCGACGGTAGTCGCCGAGAGGAACTAAAACTGCGGCAGTGAGCGTTAGGGGGCGCACCCGGCGGCTGCGCTTGTTGTTTCCCATCGCCGCCCGCCGCCATTTTACGGTCGCCATTGAGAAGTGAAAACCTCCTAAATGCACGGGTCGAGTGAATAAGCGCGGTCGAAGCCCGCCGTTTGCGCGATTTCTCGTGTGATCCGGGATATCGGCGCCGAGGCTACCGCCCGAGTGTTAGACTAATGCGTGTACGGCGTACGATGGAGAAGCCATGACGCATCCGTCGCATCAAACCAACGGCGCCAGCCTGGAGGACTGCCACACGAATTTCTTCGCACTGGTGAGTGATCGTTTCTCTCTCTCGCGCGCGCGCTATCCCAACGTAGAGAAATTCCGCTTTCGACGTGCGCGAAGTGATTCCATATTCGATTCGATGTACGGATTGACTCGGCGAACACGAACGGCGAACACGAACGATCGCTGGAGAACGGGAGCGAGCGCCCTAAGGTGACCGCCGGCATCTCTCTTCGTACGTCACACATGTCGCCGACGACGAGAGCATGACCACTGTCGCGCTCTCCAAACGTTAACCTATATTCGCGACGATAATTATCGCGGATAGTGTTTTATATGTTCGACATTATCGATATCGACGACGACGTTGACGTTGACGTTGACGTTGACGTTGACGTTGACGTTGACGTTGACGTCGTCGTCGTCGTCGTCGTCGTTGTCGTCATCGCCGTCGTTGTCGTCATCGCCGTCGTTGTCATTGTCGTCGTCGTCGTCGTCGTTGTCGTCGTTGTCGTCGTCGTCGTCTTCGTCGTCTTCGTCGTCTTCGTCGTCGTCATCGTCGTCATCATCGTCGTCATCGTCATCGTCATCGTCATCGTCATCGTCATCGTCATCGTCATCGTCATTCCCATTCCCATTCTCGTTGTTGTTGTCGTTGTCGTCGCTCGTGCTGCTGTTGTGTATCGCCAGATTCCTCCTTCCCCTTTTTTCCTCCTTTCCCCGCGGCAGCTCCGTGCGTGCGTGCGTGCGTGCCTGCGTGTGTGTACGTACGTACATACGTCAGTGAGATTTGAAGTTTTGTTGTGTCGAGCCAATGTCATGCCTGATTCACGTCAGACCCCGAAGTCTTACGGTACGCCGTACGAGACGGAGAAAAGGAGAGTCGATGAGCGTGCGTGCAAACGAGAGAGGACAGGAGAGGAAAAGAGATAGAACGATCGACAGAGCAGCGAGTGGGAGGTGCAAAGAGGGGGAGGAGGACGAGGAGAAGTGACCGCGAGAGGAGAGCGGAGAGAGGATGAGAACACAAGCAGGCAGGCAGGCACGCCGTATTCCGTCGTCGTCGTCGTCGTCTCTCTC